CCAAGCAGTGCCACTGAAGGCATACGGTTCTCTTGCTGGGGCGTTCCAGAAGTTCAAGCTGCGAACTGGGAGAAAAACAAATTCTAGAAGTATACAACCAGTGGTGGGTATGGCAAGTGTCACGAACAATTATGTCTGGGTTCCCCATTCAAGCTTAAAATTAAGTAAAATCTTTGGTATATAATCAAGTTGTTGAATCAACCGGATGCTATTTATCTCATTGAAACCCTGCCCCTCTCCACGATTTGCTGGTGTCATATCCTGCACTGCCAGGTGTTGCCGGAGCCAGTGCAAAGCGCTTCGCAGCCAACATTGGCGATGGAGTGGCTAACTCAGCTGACCTATCCTGCACTTTCCTATGTGTTGTCCCTTACATCTTGTCAATCCTGGCCCTCATTCCCAGAATTTGGCTCCAATGAATGTATCGAATATGGGCCAATCAAACATATGTTTTTTTCAAAAAAAACATTGCAAAAATAATGGGCACATGCATACATTTTGAGATGGAATATGATGTGTGCGTACAAAGTGGTAGGCAAAATAATGATGAAACCAAAGGCTATACCACAATGCACTCTAAAGCCGCATGCAAAGACCAATGTGAACAAATGCATACGTAAACCAGATTTGCAAGTTGCTACTTCCTCCCCATGCTTGTGCCATGGATCCTGTTGATGAAGAGCTGATAGACCTTTTGAGTTGCCATCGCTCCGCTTCTTGTCAAAAAATGGTGTCAACCTACAATTTGCTTCTGATGGCTTCAACAACATTTGTTATATGGTATTTTCATTTTCTTACCTGAGGCTTCATTGGGGCCCTACGCTTGGGAACACACCAGACCGGTGAAACGGTTGAGATCCAACGCCAAAGACCCTCTAGAGCACAGTGTGGTGAAGTTACATTTGCCTTTAGAAGCTGAAGAACGACACAGGAAAAAACATAGTCACAATGGAATGGGTGGGTCTTCACTTTGCAAAAGTCCGTATATTGAACATGATGATCTCAAGGATCTTCCCCGGTCTATGGAAGTTTTTCGAAAGATTGAGGGAAACCCTTCTCTCACCCTAATGCTTCCAAAACCAGCGGCAACGGCGGGGCGAGTGTTAGAGCATGCGGCAGAAAGGTTCACTCAAATACTTCGTCGAAACGAACCGTGCACCTTCAAGTTTGGGATTACAGTGGATCCCTCTGACAGGTGGGAAAACTATTCGAAATATTCTCTTGACCGCTTTGACAACATGATTGTCTTGTATGCGGCGGCTCAGCCATATGGACCAGCGTTCCTTGAGGCGGCATTAATCAGCCAGTTCGGAAGTTTCCTGTTTGCATTTTGCTGCTCTGCATCCTGCTTGAACTGTCATGATGCATTTTTAGCATTGAGATTTAGTGTCCAATTGTTTTTGTCACTTTGTTGCTGCTTCACTTGTGCACACGTTGGTCCAAGCCACACACTGGACTCTGTGAAAATGAGGTATCAGGGGTTGCAAGAATGAACGAAGTGGAGGTGAGACGATGAGGCATGAAAGTGGACCTCATTTTACATACTTGGTTTACAAGTCTTACAAGCGTCCTAGCATGCAGGTCCGAAGTGCAGCTAGGACCAGCTAGGATTTAGTGCCTAAAAAGGCAGCAGCTTGCTGTGGTGTTTTGACTCCTCAGTTGGACTCCGTAGGGAATCCAAGAACAAATTCAAGCTTCACATGCATATTTTGCTGTGACATGATGCCTTGCTGCATTGGGAAGAAAAAAACATTTTCTTGCACAGCTGCAGTTTGATTGTGAACTTTTGTTCGCTATGACCTGTTTGTGGCATTGAGTTGTGGAATGGCAAAGCTAATATTTCACCAGTTCTGCACTGTGCCTGACGTTTTTTGTTGTGCTTGGCTAATTGTTGTAGTTTGCTTGCTTAGGCGAGCTGCGTGAGCCAGATCCGCACTGCAGAGGCCGTGGCCAAGGATTTTGGCCAGGAAGCAGCAGCTCGTAATGGTGTGTTGCCCTGGGCCAAAGCTGATAAATCCCATTCGGAGAGGACTGCTCATAGGGTTATCAAGAAACAAAAAACTGCTCTGAGCATACCTTTGAGAAATGTGACGTGCGATGGAGTTGATGTACCATGGATTTCTCCTGAGTCATGGTTGAGTTTTCTTGTTGACCATGGGTGTTGGCCGCTCTTGGCTGGCTGTGAAAGACATGACTATGCTGGGGCTGCTCGAAACTGGTCTCAATTTGGGAAGCTTACAAGACGGTCAACCCGAGCTTTGATCTGTTTGAAATGGATGGGATTGATTATTCCAAAACTGCTGCCATGTTCATTCATGGCGACGAAGGTCGCACTTTGAAAAAAAATGGAATGCTAGTGACATCCCTTCAGAGTGCTCTTGGTCGTGGCTATGACCAAAAACGTGTCAGAAGACAGAATGACACCAATCTGCAGGTCAACTTTGCTGGACATTCTTTCACTACAAGATTTGTTCTGAGCACCATTCCGAAGACTGCATACGAAGCACAGCCAGAAGTATTTCACGAAGCTATTGACCATGTGGCCAGGTCATGTAGCAAATTACTTCGATGTGGCGTTGCTGACAAAGTTCGAGGTGGTGAGATCTACAGAGTGGTGATTTTGGGAGTGAAGGGGGACGCCCCATATCTTCAGAAAGTTGCACACTTTTACCGGTCATTCAACACTACGGTGAAGAGGGGTGAAGAACGTGGTCAGCCGAAAGGTTGCTGCCCCTATTGCCTGGCTGGTACAAACCTTTGTGCTGCGGAAGGGATAGGTACTGACAGTCCTGCATGGCTTCGCACTATGGCTGTGAAACTCCCTTGGGTTCGAACTCCGTCCCTGATACAACATTTGGTGCATGATCGCTCAGACCCTGCATCATTTTTCAAATCAGATATATGGCATGTTTTTGCCTTGGGCTTTGGCCGCTCCTGGGTTTGCAGTGTCATTCAGGTGCTGCTGCCTCACTTGCCTCTTGCGCAAATCTGGATGAGAAGTGGTCATACTTGAGCGCGAACTACTTGCAGTGGTGCCGAAGCAATAGGAAACAAGCTCATGTCAGCCGCATCACTCCCTATCTGTTCTCATATGGGGACACAAGTGGTGCCATGGGCAATTGGCATAAAGGATCTCTAACTACAAATCTCAATTTGTGGCTTGTCGATCTGTTGAGTGCTGGGCCCCGTGATCCTGAAGGATTTCTGATGCAATGCTGCGCGGCAACACGCCGGGTGAATTCCATGTTCAGTTTGCTGTATAGAGCAGGCGCATTTCTTGGGGAAGAGCAATGTGCCTTCGTGTCTGAACAAGGGCTTCAGTTTTTGTCGTGCTACAGCAGGATGGCACTGAGCATGTTTCAGGACAACCGTCAGTGGTTGTTTCCGCTGTACCCCAAGCTCCATGTGTTTCATCACCAGATGTTGGAAATCAAGAGGTCAGGGATGACAGCCAAAATGGCTATCAACCCAGCCATGTTCTCTTGCCAAATGGATGAGGACACGATAGGACGTGCGTCACGCATTTCTCGCCGTGTCAGTATCAAATTAGTGGCCTCTAGGACTCTCCAGAGGTATTTAGTTGCAGCACATGCCGCGTTTGTGAAGAGCGGCATCATGTCCTAGAAAAGTTGCTTTACGGTGCTCTTAGCCTCATTGGGAACGTGGTCCATACGGCTGTTGATTGAATGTTCGCTTGATTTATCTTTTCATTTTGATGGAATTTGATGATCTGCAACAGCCTTGGTTGTGGTTGAGGCTGCTGCTTCAGCTTTGGATTCTGTGAGTTCATTGGGTCTCAACCGGTGCTATATGGATTTGATCTGATTTGATGTTGTTTGTATACATGAACATCTTGGAGTGGAATTGGAAAACCTGTTTTTTTTTAAAAAACCTATGTTTTTTTGGGTAACCCAAAAAAAAGAAGGTAAATGGCCCTCTAGGTATATATATATATACATGTAACTAATCTAATCTAACTGCACGTTAGGGGACTCAGTTCCCGACGGATCTCTTAAAAGATCCATTCTTGTCTAGTGTGTGTCTCTGTGTCTCTGTGTCTCCCGTGTCTGTGTGTGTGTGTCATGAAGTATGCACAAACAGAGATGACATCTGAACTAACCAAATGGCTCACAGCCCGTCGATGTGTTGGGGAGTCCTGGGCATGACTATAGATAATATTAATAATTATAATAAATGGTTTTGATAGAGTCACAACATTCTGATACGCGTGATATGGGTGTCTCTGAGGGTCATCCTGAAAATAGGGATATGACTCATACCTGCATCTTCCAATGTATGTAAAAATTATTGCCTTTTCAGAAATTGTTGCTGGCGATATGTTTTTCTGCCTGTGAGCAAGTTTTGTATTTGTCTGCCTTTGCATGTGTTTGCCGGTGTTGAAACGGCGAAAAAACCTATATAATCGAAACAGCGGAAAAAAAAAACTAAAAAAATCAAGAATCCAAAATGTGCAGACTGAAACGGCGAAAAATAGTGGAAACGGCGATATTTTAGTCACCCTGCGACAATTATTGCTGTTTCGGATTTCGAGCGATAATTTTGCATAGGTGTATTATCCAGGTATATGACCAGACAGTTCCAAATCCCCGTGGGCCTTACCTTAATCCGTAGTCCAAGAATCCACGTGGGAAACCCTGAAGAGTAGAATCCGTAATCATAGCATCAACTAGCAAGTTGACAAGGGAAACTGATGAATTTGACAAGGGAAAATGGTGATCCATTGGAATGTTCAAGCAAACAAACAACTCTATATATATATATATAACGTATATATGTATATATTGTTATTATATATATATATATTTATAAAGGTAGGTACGGGAGGGGGGGTAGCATATATATATATATATGTATATTACGTATATATATATATATATATATCTGTGTGTGTGTATAGATATGTATATATGAAAATATATGTATGTATGTGGATCCTATGGTCATTTAGCACACTGTCTTCTCCAACTTGTTTTCAGCGCCTCGAAGGCCCGGCTTCCGAGCACACGAATGGATTCCTTGACGCCTTCGCCCGTCAACATGCATGGAGAACCTGCTGGAGAACTGATGAAGGATATGAAGGTGTTGTTTTTGTTGGGGTGGTGGTGTATAGATGTGTATTTTAGCAGGTGAAAATGTGTTTGATGAAATGTTTATGATGGTCCCACTGATGAATCCAAGGGGATAGTTGATGATGGTTAATGATGGTTTGGTGCATGATGATTCTACAATGATGAACCGAAGCCTCGACATGTTTGGACTGAATTCCCCAGATGTAGTCGATTTTAAATAGGTGATTTATGGATCGAACATAGAGATATTCCATTTGGCAAGGGGTCAACCACCATGAACATACGAGGGAATTCGGAATCACGGTCCTTTATCCTTTGCTGGTGGACCAACGATCTCAAACATAAAAAAATCACACCTGTTCTCCCAACTTTTCATATCGGATCCAATAAAGGACCAAAAAATTGTCCAAACAATGGCGAAATCAAGAGGAAAAATCCAGAGGAAACCCTACATTTACATCTTAGCCTCAGGTATAGGGGTTTCAACTGTAAATGTTTCCCTTCAGCCACTTCAGGGTATTCTCATAGCATGGCTGGTGTTACCCATTTTGGCGGGTCTTTAAAATGTCCCAAATTCGAGGAGAAAAGAATGTTCAACCACGCAAAAGCACCATCACATCCCCATCAAAATCCACCACTATATCCCCCAAAAAATGGTGGTTCCCCAAAACAACGATGCCCCAAAAAACTGGTGGTTCCCAAAAAGACCACCCCAAAATGAAAGTTCCATGTGGTTCCCCAGTTCCACCAAGGCACTAAGGCTTCGTCCAAGATCTACAGCCTTGGGTGGTGCCAGTTCCGCTGCAGAGCGCTTGGTTTCTTTCCTCGGCAAAGGTTTGATTCAACGAAAAAGCTAGTTCGACTTCCTACCAAACATAGGGATCATAGGGATTTCATGCGACTTCCGAATGGTTTCCAGCTCATTTGAAGTGGTTGAAGGTGACGGTGCAGGAGTGGAGATCCAATTCTGGGCAACCTAACTTGGACCCATACCCATTGACACCTGAGAAATTTGGTATGGGGCTCCTGTATATGGGTCATATCCAACAAGGACGAACAATTACTATTTGGTGGCCGATGCATCAATCAATGGCAACACTACTCTTGTCACTTGGAATTCTCATCCTAGGCATGGAAGCAGTGAAAAAAGCGTTTGTGTCTTCAATGGCATGATTTCCCAAGCGCTCAAGTTCCAGGGGTGCATGCACGGTGCATCCTTGAAATCTCACACGGTTTTCGCCCGATGGCGCCCTGCAGCAAAGCTTCTTGAAGACCCAGCCCCAATCGCCCCCAGATGTCCTGCGGCTCGCCATGAGTTTCTTGGCGCTTTCCCAGGCTGAGCCAAATGCTGCCATCAATCACCATGATGGTGATGATGATGATGATGATGATGATGATGATGATGATGATGATGATGCTGATGCTGATGCTGATGATGATGGCGGTAGTAGTGATGGTAGCGGTGATGGTGATGGTGATGATGACGGTGTTGATGTGTTCTCCAGCATCAGGCCCCTGGCGCTCCTGATTTGAATCTGGCCACATTTCTGGTCTCTGGGTTCAACCCATATTTGACCAAAAAAGGACATGATATCACTAAGTCACTACACCTTTTTGAGGCAAATCATTGTCTTTCTTATATGAAGTTATAACAGTCATAGTTATATCTTCCCCCCCCACAATAAATAAATAAATTATCCCTACTGAAATGGTGATATTTTATTGGGGTGATAGTTCACTGAAATATCTTTTTGGAGATGGGCGGGTCGCGCCTCTCTTGATGGAGCTGCGCGACCTTTGATAGGACCTCTCTGGCAGCTATGGACACCTGGAGTCGATGACCCCAACGTCAAGGGGTTGACCCATCAGATTGTAGGAGTGACCCTTCGGCAAAGATTGCAATTGAACATTGCAAAATAAACAACGGTGTAAATGCGAAAAGAAACACCAACTAAATGGGGGATATTGGGGGATTTCCTTCCCGTTGCCATGTCTGATTACCACAGAGTAAGCCAAAAGAAAAACTATAGAAACATTAAAATGAGTTTGAAGGATTTCTGAACCAAAATGGAATGGCTAATGTTCATACAATCCTCCAGACAAAATCTCGTTGTTCCCTGAGGCCTGTGTCTGCACTTGTTTCCCCGCAATCATCTATGGCATGATATGATCAGCAAATGACGGAGACTTTAACCAACAAAAACAGAGACAAAATCAACAAAGCACTTTACTACACACTACACTGTAATTTGACGTAAACATGACTCCAATTCCAGTGAAATTGCAGGTAGTATCTATCAGAGAGAACTGTTTGCTGTGCATGGCAGCCCCGTAAGCGTCCCTGAGCGTTCCCTCATCCCTTGCCTTCCACAAACCATCCCATCCTGGATGCGTTTCCTATAATGGGTCTGTTCCCATTCCCTTGCCAATCAGAGGATATCCGCTGGTAAACTAAGATAGCTATCGCATTTGTATCTGTTTATAATAGGTAGATAATCTATGAATTGGCCCGGTTCATCCATTTTCCATCAGGTTAAATCACCGCATCCGATGATGCGCGGTTTGAACCATCCACTAGACACATCCACTTGACAAATAGGTCCCTCCACTGCAGTGCTACTAGGCGCCTTGGTGGGAAGTTTCTGGTAGTTCTCCCCCACCGATTCGAAGACTTCGCAACCCTTGGGACCTGGAGAAACATTGAACAACTTCAGGTTAGGGAACTAAATCACCCCTAGCTCAACAACCATGTTGAACAACCATGTTGAACAACGATGTTGAACCCACGGCGAATGGGAACTATCCAGGGACCACCCCATGAGAGCCATCACCGACAGTCTCCAAGGGGCTGAGAACACCATCTGATGGTTGATCATCAGTTTCCATTTGGGTTTTGGGGGGATCAGTCCCATTTTTGGACCAGGACAACCGGACAACCCAAATCAATTCCTAGTATATTGTAATATATGAATGAATGGAATCAATGGGTACCATTTTATACCTGGTATATATCATTATATATATATAATATATCACCATTGATTGTAATTAACACCCATGAAATATCATGAAATCCTCATTTAATTTCAACAGAGTAATTTACGGGAAAAAAATCCGGGAAACTGTAGTTATTGCAGCCAAATATGGATGGTGTTCTGTAAACTTTCCCTTACCCCTCTGGCTATTTGATTTTTTTTTGATGTTATGTCCCGTATACGGATACGGAACATCACAATGTTGAAGATTGTTTTTAATGATTATAAATCACCTATAAATGGGCAATGTTCATCCATAAAGCAACATTTTCCATAGGCATCACCAATTCTGGGACCATGTTGTTTTCACCGGCCTGCTACGATGCTGAAGGGCTCCGCTGTCGGCTCCGCGCCCGTGGCAAGAACGCTACTGAAGACCCCACCGGGCAACATGACACAGAGCCTGGCAGTTGGGTTTCGACATAAACTGTGCGAGCCCGTGCTATTTATGCAATAGATGTATGTATATTGAATAAAAAACACACATATATATATATGTATTATTTATTTGTTTATTTATGTATTTGTTTATTAATCAATCAATCAATCTATCTATCTATCTATCTAACTAACTTTTCTATCTATCTATCTATCTTATCTTATTTTATCATATTTTATCTTATCTTATTAATCTTATCTTATCTATCTATCGATCTATCGATCTATCCATCAATCTATCTATTGATCTATCTATCGATCTATCTATCGATCTATCTATCGATCTATCTATCGATCTATCTATCGATCTATCTATCTATCGATCTAACTATCTATCGATCTATCTATCTATCTATCGATCTATCTATCTATCTATATCTATCGATCGATCGATCGTTCTATCTATCTATCTATCTATATAATCTAATCTAATCTAATCTAATCTATCTATCTATCTAATTCTATCTATCTATCTAATCTATCTATCTCTCTCGTTATGTATTTATAAAGATGTATCCATGCATCTGTGTATTTGTTGAATTATCTGACAAAGTGACAAATTGAATGAATATCTCTCGCCATCTCCATGAGTCGATATCATATCTGTATATTATACACATTCACAAGGAACATAGTCAACCATAGTAAACCGGTTATTGTAAAAATATAATGTATGATAAACATATTACAATAATAAGCATATCATATACGAGACACATATTCGGTACAATAATCAAAGATAAACCAATTACATATCGAGATGAAACAATATAATAAAATTTAATAAACAAATATGGAGGTTTCCTAAAATGGTGGTACCCCCAAATCGTCCATGTAGGTTTTTCCATTACCATCCAGCTCCAGGATCCCAAGGCCCCATGCTGTGCCACCTGTACTCCTTTGCAAGGACTCCAGCACTAGTTGGCTGCAGCAAACCCAGGGGTTTCCGCTGTTCCATGACCTGTTTTTTGAAGGCTACGACCAGCTGTGGCATGTTGGAAAAAAACGTCGTGGCTGGGAAAAGCCTGTGTCATTGGATGGTTTTTGTTGGGAAATCTAGGGTTGAAACTTGAAACCATATATGGCTCTTAGCTGTAAATAAAGGGTTGAAACCATGCATTTCGTGTAAATCATCAAATTCTGGAAATGTGGATAAATATGATAAATGTGGAATCTTGAAAATTTGGAGGTAATCTCAAAACAAAATATGAACTTCTGAGTTGTTTACCATAGTTTGCCATAGTAAATCTGTGAGAAAAATAATGAAAAATAAACACATAGATAAATAGTTGATTTATCAGGATACTGTCGAAGATATCTGAGAAAAGAAGCACTGAAACATCGAGACATTTTGACATGTTTTGCAAAGAAGAACTCAGCAAATGGTTTCTTTGTCCTCGTGGCGGCTGTTCGGGTCTAAGGAACAACTTCAGCCCGTGGAAATCATTGGAAGCTCAGCCATGCCCGGTCCAAAAAATTGGTGGCACAGGGCCAGATGAAGGACGCACTACTGGAGGCGCGATGCGCCCAGTAGTGTACATTGAAACATACCCTCTGGTAAACTAACATAACTATGGAAAACCACCATTTTTAATGGGAAAATCCACTATTTCTATGGCCATTTTCAATAGCTATGTTAAATTACCAGAGGGTATGTTTCCTGTGCCATCCTGAATTGACATCTGAATAACATTGAATAACCGCACGTTCTCTCCCAATACTTATGCGCAAACACTTGCGCTACATCCTTAGCTTTGTTGGATTATTTTCGGACCTATGAAGTTTTGGACTGATGACTGAACTTCATGAACTTAGATGAGACCCGATGTTATCAGTGGGTTGAATGACTGAAGCCAGAAATCAAAAGCTCAATCCCGCTGGCATCCAGTTCTATGAAGACAGCACCCTCCAGCCTCTGCAAAACATGGCAACTGTAAATCCCCGCAATTCCAGCAGTTCAGCAGGGACAATGGAGGTGTCCCAAAATGGTGGTACCTCTAAATCATCCATTTCAATAGGATTTTCCATCATAAATCAACAAAAAAACATCCATTTTGCGCATTTTGGGGTACTGTACCCCATGACTATGGAAACCCCCCAAGATGTCCAGGACGATCTCCATCCCTGGGATCCCCCCTTGGAGCCCTGCAGGATTCCTCCAGGAGAGTTCTTCGGGCTTAGGTTGGCTTTGACCTGTGACTGGAGATGAGGGCAAACCCTCTGAGATGGCTTTCACTTGTGAAATGTTGGGTTTTCACTGCTATGATTTCAATATTTTGAAGAGGTTAAAAAGATATGTGATATGTAGAGTAATTCTGGAAGAATGGTGAAGAATGTGCTTTGCGGAAACTTTTTCACCTGGGTACAAGCACCCTCAAGAATTGTCAAACATTTTCAACATTAAAAAGCCAACTGGCCAACCTCGCACCTGGTGCTTGACGATAGAAACCCACGGAGCCCTGATAAACTACATAGATGGCACCATCCACATGACTGCCCTGTGCGGAGGGGATCCAGTGCGGAGATGTTTAGTGTTGCTTCTCAACTTTGGAAACCCACAAGATTGAAAGGGAAAACACAGGAAGTCAGGATGGTCAAATATGACAAATCTTTCACCGCAAACCTGGGATGGAAAAGAATCAGTCACCAAAATGCCGTAGATATCACAGAAATCTCATCTGCCCCATGGGCTGTCCATGGGCCCGATTTCATACCACATCTTTCCGCCAGAGCCTCACGTAGGAAGACGTGACCACTGGGATATCTTCGTTTGACGAACATATAGGTGGCATGTGACCTGCCGGGGGAGGAAAAAAACACGTGGGAAGTCGTTGACAGTTTGTTATGAGAAATCACTGCCATTATATATATTCACCATATATTCACCATTTGTTATGGGTATATAAATCACGATTTGTTATTGGGAAAACGCATGAAAACGCTATTGTTTATTGAGAATTCACTCGGAAATCACCATTGTTTAAAGGTAAATAAATGGGTCGTGCCTTCCATAGCAAACTGTTGATTTACCGGAGGCTATTATCTGGTTGTGAATCGCTAAAAATTCTCTACAGAACATCGTCTACATCCGATAGGTGACAGTCATCACGGTCATCACGATCATCACCGCCACCATCTCCATCAGCAACATCATCAGCAGCACCATCAGTCACATCATCGATAATATCACAGCATCAGCATCAAATCATAACCGATCCTAAAAACCATCCAATTGAAACCGAAGTTTCACAATACACAATCCATCTAGATAACATACCCAAACATACCATATCCAATAAACCTAATGGGAAGTTATTATGGATGGTTTTGCCGAAATTTCTGTTTCAGGCTTTGCCCTACAGTTTGACGACCAGCTGAGGTCTCCACTAGATGTTGATCAAAGGTTTTTTGAAAACTACAATCTGAACCAGCAAGCGGCACATGATTAAGCATTGTATGATTACAACCAAAATACAATATCTATACATATCTCATAAGTGTCTTCAGTTTTTACATGTTTTTACACCAGTTGTATCGTTTATTACCCCCCCTGTTCACGCCATAGTCTCCGGTCTCTTTACAGTATGTCAATTGGAGCCTTCAACCGCCATCTTCGGCACAACCAACCATCCCAAACATCACCACAAACGCTATAAACCATCAATCCATATGGGTGGTTTATGACATTGCGTTACTAAAAATCAAACACACCACTATAGCCATTGAAAATTGTTATTCATAGCTGGTTTACCTATTATTATTATTATTTTCACTATTATTATTATTAAACGCTGTGATTTTCCACAGTTATGATAATGTGATATTAGTGTGACATATTGCAATAGATTAAAGCATAGTTACATTTGAAATTTGATTGGCTTTACTATTAGATCCTATTGTTAGTTTACCGTAGCGACTACACCCCATCTCCATCCACCGGAGCGGCGCGCTTCCCGGTGATGGGCACAAAGCTCCGTGCGTGCTCGCGGATGCCCGCGAGGTGTGCTTGGAGAAACCTACAGCTTTTCCAAGGCAGGAGGGGAAATTCCAAATATCATATGCACAAATATATATATATGTCAATATTATCATATTTTAGCTCAATACTTGTATATATAGTTTATGAGTATATGATGATATATGGTAGAATTATATAGTAACCCCAAGCAGTTACCCTATAATTTCGGGGTGTTTACCATTTGGGGGGGGCCTAGCTATATATCATATCTATATATGGAGGTTTCCTAAAATGGGGGATCACGAAGTCACAACAGGTTTCCAATGTTTCAAGAATCAGCCATGGCCTAATGACTTGGATGATTTGGTGGTACCCCCATTTTAGGAAATCTTCCTGTACATCTATATGGGAAAATATTTCAACATGTAATAGGGGAACGGGATGATAATTGCATAGATGGTCATTCTGCAGTAGATAGAATGGGTATTGGTCAATCGTTTTGGTATCTGCAGCAATACATGGGATAAAAAATGACCAACGGTCAACAAATGGGATTCTCATCGGGATATATACTGGGATTATCAGGAGGAAACCAACCATAGTGGAGTTTGAATGGATAGGCATAAGTATATATGTATATACATATATAATATATATATATATCTACATACATACATATATATTATATATATTTACATATATATATATATGTAAATATAATATATATATATATATGTATATTTATAGAGAGAGAGAGAACCCAAAAAACATGCCGAAAAGTGCTTTCAGGATGGTGGTTCGATGATGTCTCATACCTTTCAGGTATCCAACCACTTCTTTTGTGGGTTGTTACACACACCCTCCTGTAATCAAACTTGGTTTGCTGGAAAATCACCCATTTATAGCCCGATGATTTTCCCATTCAAACGTACGACGTACTTCCCATTGCCATGTTTGATTCGATTACCGACAGATATCTTTGTGCGCGTTTAGATATGACGAAAACAAACAAGAAAAAACAATATTACCTAAACGGACACATGAATAATCAAAATATATCTCTTTCAGCATGAAGAATGAAGAAGCGTTCACTCTTCAGCTTGGCAGAATGAGTTCATAGTGGTCTGTGAATACTCTCCGATACGTATCCATAAACTGAATAGTTTTATATAAATTAAATAACTGAACCTTCAAAATCTCGTATTCACTGGGTTGGTTTGAGCGGAACACTACAGGACCCTCATCACATCATTGCAATCTGTGAGGATGTTGATGCCTGACATTCAATGGGCAACGCAAACAGGGTAGTAGTCCTTTCCCTGCCACAGCAGCATGTTGGGATGCCCTGTGATTATGAGTGTTCAAATGCGCGCATACCTGCGTATGGAATAATGCGCGCATATGCCTCATCATGTGATCGCATGGGATCGTATACAGATACACACACATCCCTATAAATATGTGTGCCATATACTTCCGCTACCTAGATGTTTAGACTTAGATTTGTAAGCTCGACCTAGGTTTGTATGTATAGATATATATATATATACGCCAAATGCCTGGGTTTTGCCCGGACCCGCAATGACGATGGGCGACGCATCATCATCATCATCATCATCATCATCGTCATCATCATCACCATCGTCATCATCATCATCATAAACATCATGATCATCAATCATCAACATAATCATCATCAACCTCATCAACCCCTTATTGACGATCTTCAATGGATGTAGAAGTTTAACGGGGGTGGGAGAATTAAACCCTTATTGGAGATCTTCAATGAATGTAGAAGCTTAACGGGGGTGGGAGAATTAAACCCTCATCGAAGATCTTCAATGAATGTAGAAGTTTAACGGGGGTGGGAGAATTAAACCCTTATCGAAGATCTTCAATGAATGTAGAAGTTTAACGGGGGTGGGAGAATTGAACCCTTATTGGAGATCTTCAATGAATGTAGAAGTTTAACGGGGGTGGGAGAATTAAACCCTTATCGAAGATCTTCAATGAATGTAGAAGTTTAAAAGGGGTCGGAGAATTAAACCCTTATTGAAGATCTTCAATGAATGTAGAAGTTTAAAAGGGGTGGGAGAATTAAACCCTTATTGAAGATCTTCAATGAATGTAGAAAAGTCTAAAAGGGGTGGGAGAATTAAACCCTTATCGAAGATGAATGCAGACGTTTAACGGGGGTGGGAGAATTAAACCCTTATTGAAGATCTTCAATGAATGTAGAAGTTTAACGGGGGTGGGAGAATTAAACCCTTATTGAAGATCTTCAATGAATGTAGAAGTTTAACGGGGGTGGGAGAATTAAACCCTGATTGAAGATCTTCAATGAATGTAGAAGTTTAACGGGGGTGGGAGAATTAAACCCCTATTGAAGATCTTCAATGAATGTAGAAGCTTAACGGGGGTGGGAGAATTAAGCCCTTATTGAAGATCTTCAATGAATGTAGAAGTTTAACGGGGGTGGGAGAATTAAACCCTTATTGAAGATCTTCTCAATGAATGTAGAAGTTTAACGGGGGTGGGAGAATTAAACCCTTATTGAAGATCTTCAATGAATGTAGAAGTTTAACGGGGGGGGGAGAATTAAACCCTTATTGAAGATCTTCAATGAATGTAGAAGTTTAACGGGGGTGGGAGAATTAAACCCTTATTGAAGATCTTCAATGAATGTAGAAGTTTAACGGGGGTGGGAGAATTAAACCCTATTGAAGATCTTCAATGAATGTAGAAGTTTAACGGGGGTGGGAGAATTAAACCCTTATTGAAGATCTTCAATGAATGTAGAAGTTTAACGGGGGTGGGAGAATTAAACCCTTATTGAAGATCTTCAATGAATGTAGAAGTGTAACGGGGGTGGGAGAATTAAACCCTTATTGAAGATCTTCAATGAATGTAGAAGTTTAACGGGGGTGGGAGAATTAAACCCTTATCGAAGATCTTCAATGAATGTAGAAGTTTAAAAGGGGTGGGAGAATTAAACCCTTATTGAAGATCTTCAATGAATGTAGAAGTTTAAAAGGGGTGGGAGAATTAAACCCTTATTGAAGATCTTCAATGAATGTAGATCTTCAATGAATTTCCTAGTAACTTTGTTGTTTTTCCCATAGGAATTTCACATGTTATGCTGTTTTTTTTCCTATAGGATTTTCGGGTGTTTTGACCTTGTTTGTTTAATATTCCCTAGTACCTTTGTTATTTTCCCCATAGGAATTACGGTAATTTGCAACATCATTTGTTTGTGAATGGGAAACCTCTAAGCTGCAACGCCTGGGCAAAACCCAGGCGTTGCGCTATATATATATATATGCAAAGGTACCATTGCAAATCTGCTCTGTGTCTTTCAGCATGGGCTCGAAAGTACAAACGAACGTTTACGTTCACATTAACATCTCAACATTCCATCAACGATTTTCCAAGGCTATAGCATATCAAATGCTTGCAGACCAAAAAAAGCCCGGAGTGTTTTTGCAATCTTTTTTTGCGACATTACCGTGGGCAAACCGTGGACAAATCGTGGAACGACCTAGAATTGTCGTGGAACGGCCTAGAATTGTCGTGGAACAACCTAGAATTGTCGTGGACACCCCCCAAAAGAAATGCTTTGAAAGTGTTTCACATCTATCAATGCATTTTTTGAGATGGCCTCTGAACTGCATGTCAGAGTTGGAAGCAACATTTGATAAGTTTAATATACGTATATACGTTGTTTCATATTTCTACGCCCAAGCCCAAGCCAGCAGTACAGCTGCTACCAACATCACATCCTGGCATGGTTTTCTGAAATTCTATGATAAAATCTAATTCCATTGATTGTTCATCCAAATGATGCAATGGAATATGTCATAGGATCAACATGTCCTAACTCACTTGAAGCATATCAAAGCTATAACTGTTTGGGAGTGATTGTGATCAAGTTAGGGAACAACAATTCTAGGTACCTCACAACAATTCTAGTTACATATAGTTACATCCTGCAATACCTAGATTTTCTAGGTCTTTTGATGCAGAGGGTGTGTGTGTATATATATATAAAGGCGCTGCTGAACCCACGGATGAGTTCTTGAAACAGATCAGTTCCATGGTTGTTCACGTTTTTGGGCATACTATGGGTCCTGACTACGTGGGAGTGTAAAGGACACAGCGGCTCCAACATAATTCAGTGCAGCGATTGAGCTTCAGTGGGCCGGGAAGGAAAAAAATATATATGTGCATATATATTTATATATATATGCCATAATTACATGTGTGTGTGTGTCTTGTCTCCCGTTGCGACTTTGAAAAATACCCTCCAGAATTCGACTTTACAGGGATCCAAAAAAACAAAACCTTAACTAGAAATAGTCAGAAAATACTAGACCTAACAACACCTATACAATACATACAGTATGCATAAATCATCAAACAAGCACCTAGGTCCTAGGTTGTTCAAATTGGTCCAAGCTTCTGGCGAATGTCTCATTCCAATTATTTCGCCCAGGAGCTTGTCTTTCTACCCAGTCGCGAGACATGCTCTCTTTCACCAAGCTCAAAAAGTCGTGTTTCCTGGTCGTCACCCGGTCATCCCAGGACTGAGGCTGCCCCCATTTTTTCCCACAGGTGCTATCACTGCTACTATCCAAGCAACCAAAGAATAAGTCTAACCTCCAGTAATCATAAATCTGACCATCACGTGCCATTATTTTTGTTGCTTGAATCCCCAAGTCTGTTGTTTAGACGTTTAGACCATTTAGACCTCATTTTCTTCCATATGACATGATCATTCTACCATCATGTATGTGTTGATGAAAATCAGAATTTCACAGCACCATCATCACATGACTTTGGACGACCGGACCCACCATGCTTTTCAGCACCTGATGATGATCACCTCACACTCTTGCGAGCATGCCGCGGTGGTGGAGCGTGGCTGGTTCTGCATCAACTCCACCACACCTTTTCCGAAATCGGAAGAACAGGGGAAACTGAGACCGACCAAACATATCCAAAAACGGTGGGTTTGCACCAGTTTTAAGATATTTTATAGTTATCCACCAAACAGTGGATTTGAACTGTTTTAAGCATACAGCCAAACATTGGATTTGTCTGAAGTATGTCATCCGGGCAAGTCTGGGTAAGTTATTCTACAATTGTTGCTAGTGACTGCTAGTGCAAGGAGGCAGCCCACACCAGCCGTGTCCACCTGGGAGGTCCCAAGTTGTCCAAGCTACATGGTTCAGCATATTTTCAGACTCCTTCCCTGGGGAGGGACACCGTGACACCATGCCCAAAGTCGATGCATCGAATCTTTTTTGGGCCACGCAGGTTTCCATATACGAAATCCCAGGATATCCCAGGCGAACGAACTCGAGACGGCTGCATCATGCTGCATCCGTTTGCTCATCAAAGCCGCCGAGAGAAAGGGCCAGGAAATTGGATCCCTATGTGTCTAGTTTTGACTTCGGCTACGTTGTTGCATTTCACTATGCACGTCTTTTGTGGGTCAAAACCCGCCACTTTTGGTGAACCTTCAAAAAATGACGAGACTAGTCTTGGGTGCGATGTTCATCATCCCAATTCCTGACCCAGGGGCCCAGGGAGTTTCCGCAAGGTGCAGAGAACATTTTTTCATGTCTCAAGGTTCACCTTATGGTTTGGTCGCAATGGTCCTGAGAACTGTGGGAGGACTAACCCCTTGGTCAGGCCTACCATGAATGCGCCACTGACCCCACAGTGGTCCTGAGAACTGTGGGAGGACCAACCCCTTGGTCAGGCCTATCGGCACACCACTTGGAAAAGATCTGTGCGCACAGTGCGCATGGGTGTCCATCTGGCATCTACACCACTGGTTTCCCCATATGGATCCATTTGGGTGATGATGTTTGTGGGGGCTTCCATAATCTTTAATGCCCATATTTTTTGAAACACCCATATGTGTTCGGACGAATTCCCTTCCGCTGCCTCCAGCGGAAAGAGATAGCATGGTCGCGGGGCTCTCATCACCCGTGTGGTGAGTCCCGAACAACAACGCCACAACGTAGCTAACTGGGACCTACCATTCACCGTAGCTAACAGCTGGTCCTGGGGAACCCAACCTGCGCATCTTGTTAGCCTTACTATGAGGACACAGGATGCAAACATATGTGCTTGATATCATTTCAATAATTATATGTTCATAGTAACTATCACATTGAGTTTAATTGTTCATTCATATCACGCGGCACACGTCTGGTCACGATCACCCAACAACACTGACAACGTTCATTCTCAGAATTAGTTCATCGGATTGTTTCCTAAGAACAGTCATTTCCCGCTTGTCAATTTCAAGCATGGCCTTCCTATGAACATGTTCCTCAAATCAACTCGTTATGCGACTGCAGTTTGTTCCTAACACTTTTCCTACAACCTGTTATATAGCTCAGCCCTCATCGGTTCTTTTGTCGCGCCGGGCCCCAAAACACAGCTCTGCGACGTAAAAAAACATAAAAAAATCATGAATGCGCCACTGACCCCACAGTGGTCCTGAGAACTGTGGGAGGATCAACCCCTTGGTCAGGCCTATCGGCACACCACTTGGAAAAGATCTGTGCGCACAGTGCGCATGGGTGTCCATCTGGCATCTACACCACTGGTTTCCCCATCTGGATCCATTTGGGTGATGATGTTTGTGCCTACGGGTTGAAAACCGTCCGAGCGTTTTAGAGATTTTTATATATGCCTTGGGGTGGGGTGGGGTGGGGTAATAACGTTCACGTACTTGCGCACTCCCATGATGCTACGCCACGGCACGTTCACTTGCACGTGCGCACATACGTCATGCTACGTTGAAGATGTGTCACGTCACGCAGGGGTGGGGTGGGGTGGGGCAATAACGTTCACGTACTTGCGCACTCCCATGATGTTACGCCACGGCACGTTCACTTGCACGTGCGCACATACGTCATGCTACGTTAAAGATGTGTCACGTCACGCAGGGGTGGGGTGGGGTGGGGTGGGGTGGGCAATAACGTTCACGTACTTGCGCACTCCCATGATGTTACGCCACGGCACGTTCACTTGCACGTGCGCACATACGTCATGCTACGTTGAAGATGTGTCACGTCACGCAGGGGTGGGGTGGGGTGGGGTAATAACGTTCACGTACTTGCCAGTGTTCCCGATCAGTTGACATCTTGCCCAGAAAACGAACAAAAATTGAATGACCTCATTTGGACGTACGTTCGCACATGGCAGTGGCGATGGGAGGCAAATGTAGTTGGAAAAGCCCTGTTGGAGAAAACAGGTGCGTACTTAGCGAAGATGTAGAGATCACCGGAAAAAATGGCTGCCGCTGAGGTTTTGGGCACGCTGACTTCCCAAAAGGAACCTTTTTCGCACTCCGACATGTCAACTATATACAGTAAATCCCAATGAAAATTCAAAATCACAATAGAATTGACCTTCATGGACAACATAAAAACATGAATAAACACTGCGAAACGCATGATTGACTTCTTGCAAGTCACATGAAAATGCTGTTTTTACTCGGCCCATTTCCAACCCGGCGGGATGTTTGTGGGGGCTTCCATAATCTTTAATGCCCATATTTTTTGAAACACCCATATGTGTTCGGACGAATTCCCTTCCGCTGCCTCCAGCGGAAAGAGATAGCATGGTCGCGGGGCTCTCATCACCCGTGTGGTGAGTCCCGAACAACAACGCCACAACGTAGCTAACTGGGACCTACCATTCACCGTAGCTAACAGCTGGTCCTGGGGAACCCAACCTGCGCATCTTGTTAGCCTTACTATGAGGACACAGGATGCAAACATATGTGTTTGATATCATTTCAATAATTATATGTTCATAGTAACTATCACATTGAGTTTAATTGTTCATTCACATCACGCGGCACACGTCTGGTCACGATCACCCAACAACACTGACAACGTTCATTCTCAGAATTAGTTCATCGGATTGTTTCCTAAGAACAGTCATTGCCCACTTGTCAATTTTCAAGCATGGCCTTCCTATGAACATGTTCCTCAAATCAACTCGTAATGCGACTGCAGTTTGTTCTTAGCACTTTTCCTACAACCTGTTATATAGCTCAGCCCTCATCGGTTCTTTTGTCGCGCCGGGCCCCAAAACACAGCTCTGCGACGTAAAAAAACATAAAAAATCGACGTTCCATTGTCTTCTATACATTTTCATCAAATGTTCCGTCCAATGCCCATCATCTCCTGAAGCTCAAACGATGGTTTTCCGCGTCCCCACGAGGCCGCGGAATGCGTGCAGCACCTGCGTCCGCACCTGCGTCCGTAGGGATGGCCGGTCTTCTTCGCCCAAGCCACTGGACAGGCGTTTCCTCGGGAAAACCAGGCGATGTCGTCCTTCTTGGTTCATGGGATTTCTCAGCTCATGGATGATCATCGTCCCCAAGATTTTGAAATTTCCCCATGTGTAAAGGATGGCACGCGCTGGGAAAGCTGGCATGGTTGATTGAGGGGTTTTAACATGATTAAATGCCGATTAAATATATATAAATATATAATATGCTTCCAACACAGGGTTCTCTAAAGAATCAGAACCATGAAAAAGTCTAGAGTCTATAGAGAACGAGAACCATGCAAAGTGGGGGCTCTAAAAAGAATGATAGGATTTTGGATAACCTGCCGGGTTGTCTGATTCTCTACAAGAAATTACACGGGGGATTGTAAAGGGCACCCAAGGCATGTGAAGTCTATGTCTATGTCAAGCCTTTGTAATCCGCCGACCCCGGCCGATGGCAGCAACTGAGGCCTGGCTTTGGCAGGACGCGGTGAAACCTGCAGCTGGGTGCTGTTTTAGTCTGGCGAAGCCGGGCTTGGGGGAGCACCTGCATGGCTCGACTGTTTTTCTAATGTTTCAGAAAGCAACGTTAGCAAGTGAGGCCTGGGCAGGGCGCGGTGAAACCTGCACACTACTGTCCCTGTTTCGAGAAAGTGACATTAGAGACTGCGGTCTGTGGCCTGGAAAAACCGGTGAAACCTTCAGCTGGGCGCTGTTTCCCTGTTTTGCAACTTTTCCGAAGGTTTACAACAAGGCTTCCCTTCCTTTCCCCTTCTAGGACGTGCTTGCTGGGCATGAAACTTTCAGTTTTCAATTGTTCAGAAAATGACGTTAGATAGTGCGCGTTAGAGACTGCGGTCTGTGGCCTGGGAAGACCGGCGAAACCTTCAGCTGGGTGCTCTTTTACCGCTGCAGAGGGTTTCCGAAAGCCTGGCGTGCTGGTGGACGTGCGCGGTGGGATTGAAACTTTCATTTTTCTTAGAAAGTGACGTTAGACGGTGCGGTCTGGGAGGACCGGTGAAACCTTCAGCTGGGTGCTGCTTCCCCGTTTCGGAAGGCTGCCAAGGCTTCCCAAGGCCTTCACCGGCGTGCTGGTACCAGTTCCTTTGGCCAATGTTGGTGCCAATTCCTTTGCCCTTCCAGGACGTGCTTGCTGGGCTTGAAACTTTCATTTCTCTAAGGTTCAGAAAGCGACGTTAGACAGGGTGCTGTTTCCCTGCGAACCAGGGTTTCCGAAGGTCCACAACAAGGTTATTCGGATCCGGCCTCCTGGCCTGTGCGGGGGTTGGCGGCAGTGGGCGGTAGCCCTTTAATGAAAATTTGCGTAAGGAAGTGTAAGGAAATCTCCGGCCAAAATACAGCTGTAAATGGCATGATACTGTGGATGGAAGAAATCCTGCACCACCTTGGAACCTATAAACAGTGGGATAAACGGATAAACCACCTATCAGCTGGTGCAGGATTTCTTCCATCCACCGTAGTAGCATTAAGGACCTAAATGGACATTGAAATAACACGACCTCCTCAAACTCCCTGAGCGACACGAAGCAACAAGGATCATGTATTTTATACCCTCCTGGAAATTAACATGCCAGTTTTTTTTCAAACCATAGGTCTGGGTGAGACCCGTTGGAACCACTACAGCA